TTGTAGCTGAAGAAAATCTATCTAATTTACAAGGATTACAATTCAAATGTAGCTCAGCAAAAAAAATGAACATAATGTCATCGAGTTCTAGTAGTAAATCTTCTGTAGATATTGTAAATAATAATTTTGTAAATAAAAATAATTTTTCTGCTGATGGTGATCAGTACAATGACTGCTATATTTTTATGAACACTAACATTTTAGAAAAAATAATAACTACCATTGGCTGCTGTCCAAAATGTTCTGCAAATGTTACTTTTAACCATGATGCTAAACTTACACTGTATCACACTGTATATTTATTTCATGTGGATCTTGCCAATGGAAACAAAAATTTTATTTAAGTAAAACTATAAGCAAACTAGTAACAACCGGTCCAAAAACTTTTGACATTAATTTAAGAATTATATTAGCTTTTCGAGAAATAGGTAAAGGATACTCTAGTCATGGCCTACTTAAATTACACGGCCTGATTTGTTGCATTTTCCGTAAAAAATTAAGAGGCCAGTTTTTTTACGGCTTAAATATAAAAACTTAAATTTTGTTATGGTTAAGAGTCTTGTTTGCACTATAATTGTTTTATTTTTATTTTATTAAAATGGTTTAATATTAGTTAGATTTTCTTTGATTACTTACATTATTTTGTGCTAGATTTTCTGTTAACTGATTGCCTGCTTCAGTTTATTCCAATAACTAAGAATACTGAAATAGGCTTTCAGATAGCTATATCAACACATATTAACATGCTACTAAAAATAATCTTACATATTGCTAAAACTACCCACAAATCTCCATTGGAAATAATTTTAAAGGTTTGTAATTTTGTATTTATTATAATTGCAATTATTAAGTAGAAAACATAAACTTTTCTTTAAACTATTTACACTGCAAAACAAGGTTTTGCATTGTAAATACTTTATTTATGCTGCATGTCTCAAACATACAGCAATTAAAATGTAACAAATCAGGCTGTTTATTTACAGTAGCCAATAAATATCAGGTATATAATATATAAGAAAAATCATTGACAAAAATTTGGTATTAAGAGATTATTTGCTTCTTGTGGGTAAGGTGTACTTCCAAAAAGCAGCCCAAAGTGGTAAACAATTTGATGAAGATTGAGAAAACAATCTTTATAAAGAATTTTTTTTTGTTTTTATGATTGTAGGGCTTCAAAAATTTATTATTATGTTTTGAAATCATAACCTAAAGTTTACATAACAGGTTTATGTTTGAAAAAAGAAATTGATGAGTGTATTACCTAAATGCACCAATCTGAATTTAAGATAAGATTTGTTACCGATAACCATTCTACAAATGTTAATGCATTTTTATAGTTTCATAAAGCATATACTGGAGATAGAAAATTAATAATTTATCATTTAGTTTAGAAAAGGAGTGTTTAAAATATATTTGTTATTTGATAAACTCGGTTTTTGTTTTTTCTTTTTGTTGAAGTTACTGCTGATTACATTGCATGGAATATATTTCTTAAAGTTTATTAAAAGATCACTTATTAAACAAGCAAGAAAAAGCAAGAAAAATTAATTACCAAATTACATATTTTGGTAACAACAAACAAGTTGTCAACATCGACAATATTTGACAAAACAACTGCAGCTACAACTGCTAATTTAGAGTTATTTTTCTGAAAGAAATAACACAGCACAATTATCATTGTTATGTTAGAAATAACACAGCACAATTATCAAGTTATTTATCATGCTTAATTCAAAGCAGAAACTTAATTCATCTAATCAAACTCAGCAATGCTGCTTTGAAAGGTGATAACAAACCCACACTTTATAGAGAAATTGCAAATTGTACTGAAATTTGATCAAAATAAAATTTGATAAATACCTGACATTAACCAAACAAACTTCTTGTGCTCTAATTACAACACTACACGCAATTGTATTTCTTATGCGTGATTTCCTTGAAGAAGGCTTTACATTTGTTTATAGTTAATTTACAAAAAGATCCTTTGGAGCTAGGTTTTATTAAGTATAGTTAAATGACCAATAGTAGACTTTTTGTGAGTCTTTTAGAAATGTGCATAAGTAAAAAGATTTTGGCAGAATTTCCCAGAAAATATTTACCAGAATTTAGATAATCCTTAAAAAATATTATGCAAGATATTGCTTAGTTGTCTACATAAATACAACTGTCAGCTTTCTGAAGATAGCACAAATATATATACTAAAGCAAGTAATAATGGTAAAAATTAACAAAAAGATTTTGATGTTAAACTTATGATCAATAAACAATACTTTATAAAGAGAAGAACCTATATATTCAATTCAACCTCTGTCTAATTTTATTTGTCATCTTTTTAGTATTTTATGTTATTTCTCTTATTCTAATAAAACATTGCGGTCATTCTTTTTTAATTAAAAATTTGCGAAACAAATTTTAAAGATTTGATCTAGCAGTTTAAATTTTACAAATAAAAACCACCAAAAATGGGAATCAAATATAGATCTCGTATTGTATTGCAAATTAATATAAAAAATATTATTATATTTTTTATAGTAATTTGCAAAAAAAAAAAATACATATTCATTTAAAAAAGATCAAGTAAAAGAATTCCAAAAAAGACAAAATAAACATTTCTAGCAAAAATGTATTTCTTCTTATTTCAATTATAAAAAATACAAAACTACAAACCTTTTTTTTGCTCAATGGAGAGTTTTAGGCAATCTAAGCAACATGAGAGATTATTTTTAGTAGCATGTTGGTATATGTTGATATAGTTATCTGGAAGCCTATTTCAGTATTCTGTGTTGTTGGAATAAACTGAAGCAGGCAATCAGTTAACAGAAAATCTAGCACAAAATAATGTAAGTACTCAAAGAAAATCTAACTATTATTAAACCATTTTAATAAAATAAAAATAAAACAATTATGGTACAAACAAGACTCTTAAACCATAACAAAAATTAAGTTTTTATACTTGAGCCGTAAAAAAACTGGCCTCTTAATTTTTTACGGAAAATGCAACAAATCAGGCCGTGTAATTTAAGTAGGCCATGCTCTAGTATAAAAAAAATTCTGCGGTTTAATGAATATGCCTGATCCTATGAACAAATCTTCTTTTAACTCATTAAGTGAAGAAGTTGCCAACTCTTACAATTACATTGCCGAAGCTAGCATGAATGCTAAAGAAGTAAGAATAATTAGTTTGAAAAAAAATTATAATGATTGTACAGTAGTTGATAAGGACATTTTAGGGGACGGAGCTTGGCAAAAGAGAGGATACTCATCACTAAATGGATTTATTACTATAATAAGCAAAACAAATGGAAAATGTATAGACTATCGCATACTTTCTAAGAAATGCAAATCTTGTGAGTAATAGAATATACACCAAGATTCACCAAAATATATGGCGTTTAAAGACAATCATGTTTGCTCGATTGATCACAAAGGATCGGCTGGTTTAATAGTATTACTAGAGTTTTTGAAAAACTTTATTTAAAACCGGGACACTATTCTTCAAGTTTTTTTGCATCTTCTGATTTGAAAAGAGTTAAAAATATGAAAAAAAAATGTAACAAAAAAACAAAAAGCAGGCGAAAGCAGTTACGGAGTATTCGAAAAGGATTTTTGGACAAAGATGAGGAAGAAGAGAGTTTATGTTATGGTGCAGGAGAATTTTAATATATATTTACTTTTTGTTTATTTATTACAAACAGATATTTACATTAAGTTGGTAAGAGTAAAAATTGAAATTAATTTGCAAATAAAAATTTTTTTTATTTTTTTCAAATTGAAGTATTACTTGGATAATAGTATTGTTTTATAATACTATCACTTTTTTCAAAAAAATTTATTTTTGCTTTAGTTTTACTCCACAACACTTTTATAATAAGATAATATTTGTTTGTAGGCTTTTTTTCTGTGTTTTTTATTTTTATTTGAAGAATTTTATGGTTTTTTTTGTTTAAATGTGTTTTTCTCAGTTCTTTAAAATTCATGACTCTGCGGTAAATATCTCTTTATTCTCTCAACAAATTTCTATGAAATTTTCAGGAGTTGTTCCTATTGTTATTACAGATGTCCCCTACCTCTTTTATTGCATTATGATAATTAGATAAAAAGATATTTAAGTCCTAATATGGTCAAAAATGCCTCTTTTTTTATTTTTGAAGTGTTTTTCTTATTTCAAAAAAACTGGTCAATGTTTTTTTTTTGTTTTGGTACAGGATCTTCTTTAATATATTATAAGCATGTCTGAAAAATTTCAAGTTGATACCATGAATAGTTTTTGAGATATTTACCGCAACGAAATGACCCTATTTTGGGGTTTCCGGGACCAAATTTCTCAAACCGGTTAAATATAAAAAAAAAAAAAAAAAAAGATTTGTGATTAAAATGTGAATTTTAATTAACTTATAAAAAAGTAATTTGTAAAATATAATTTTTGAAGGATTTTATTTTAATAGTGGTCTACCACCTTAAACGTGAAATAAGCAATAAAAATTAAATAGTGTTGGAAAGAATTAATCAGAAAAGATTTTTTCATCAGAATTTTAATCTTTGTCATGACAATTTCTTACTATAATAATAAAATAAAGATTTTTTTTCATGTTAGAATAACGTAATTGTCGTTGCAAAAAATCAAAGTAAATAAAACTCAAATTTTAGGAAAAAAAAATCTAAATTGATGCGATAAAGCTCTCGTCTGGTAACAAGTAAAACTCATTAAGCGACACAGCAGCAAATTTAAGATAATCAAGTTTTATTTAGTTTACGCTTACCGTAAGATCTTCCAAAACAGCAATTAATGATATCTCTAATAAAACACTACTATTTCGAATTGATTTACGCACATTTTTACTACTGGCAGTCTACCATTACATCGAAAAAAATGTGAACTCCACCTGTTATATCAAAGAATGATGCGAATAAAATTTATTGATGAAAAAATGTTTCAGTACTTCAAGATATTTTGGGTTGTTAAACCAAAATATCTTATAATACTTGTGACAACGAATAATTTCCCAAAAAAATTTATTACATAAATAATTTACATAAACTATTATTAAATACTATATTACACCAACCTAAAATAAAAAAAAATAATACACGAGGAAAACATTTTCTACATAAATATATCGTGTGTATATACATACATTTTGCAAAACTATTTCCGTTGAAAATTGTGTTTTTAAAATTTAAATTATAAATTATAAAACCATCATAAACCCTGTGAATTTAAAAAAATATTTTTTTTACAAAAATGATATAGATACATATTTATCTATAAAATCTATTTATTTATATAAACATTTTTACGATTATTAAAATAACCATTGCCCATACTTCCCATGTAACCAGTCCATCCCTGTTTGTGTTGTGGAAGAACCTTTGCGCATTTCATACCTATTTCGCATGCACAAGTTACTTGATACCTGTATAAAGTCATTATTCCTTTATTAAAATTTTTAGCTTGCATACTTTTGAAATCGTCGAACAAAGTTCCATTGTAACGGGATTGTAAACAAACATTTACAGCTGTGTCTCCACGATCATATATGCCTTTTGCTTTATTGGAATTTATATCAATAACATTGTGAAAATTTCCTGTGTAAATAAAATGATAAATAATAAATGTGTAAATAAGTAAAAAATTAAAAAACTAAACAAACTAGTGACAAAAAATTAGAGTTAAATAATAAAGGTTATAATAAAATAAAATTGAAAAAAAAAATTGTTTAAAAAAAACTATAGTAAAAATACAAACCCTTTTTAGCTTTTTTTCTTAAATCATTAATACAAGGTAAATCTTTATTTTGAATAATCCTAACCAATGATGGTTGAATATTATTCACAGCAAATACCACGTCAAAACTTTTACTCGTCTGTTTTCTTTTACTTGATAAAGATTGTGCAATAACACCAGTTTGAAACATAGTCTGGATAACAGATTTCTTTAAAATATTGTTTATAGAATTGTCTAAGAAAAAAAGTTGCAAAATAAATTCAAAAACTTAAAGAATTATACAAAGCATTAAATAAACCAGTAACAAACGCTTCACTAACTTAAGTCAACTGAGATTCAAACCAGTCCCATGTCTTTGACAAAACAAGCGAAATAAATCAAACCGATGTACTATATACTATCGAAATAAAACCAGTGCGCATCAAACAAACATAACGTCGAGAATAGTGCAAATCCGCAAAACTATCATATGATTATACCTACACTACAGATTTTTTACTAGAGGTTACTGAAGGTTATTGGAGATTTACTGAGGGTTAAAACTTTATATATTTTTTATTTTAAAAGATTTTGGGTTTATTTTAGCATAGATAGTTTTATTCATATTCTTTGTAATGTTAACAAACGATATTTGATGTTAACAAACAATATTTGATGTTAACAAACAATATTTGATGTTAACAAACGATATTTGATGTTAACAAACAATATTTGATGTTAACAAACGATATTTGATGTTAACAAACGATATTTGGTTTTAAAATTATCAATATTCAATTACAGTGCCAATTCTAGTTACGCAGATTTGCACTATCCCCGACGAAAAAAACACAGTGGTTTATAGAAAATTTATTGCACAAGTTGCAAAAAAAAAAAATTTTTAAGATGGTTGTCTAGAAAATAAATGATGATTAAAAGCTATCACCTAGATTTTATTCAGCAAAAAAAAAAAAATCATAGCTTTTTATCATTTAAAAATTTATATCATTTATAATATCAAATCATATCATTTATGATATCAAATCATATCATTTATGGTATCAAATCATATCATTTATGGTATCAAATCATATCATTTATGGTATCAAATCATATCATTTATGGTATCAAATCATATCATTTATGGTATCAAATCATATCATTCATGATATCCAATCATATCATTTATGATATCAAATCATCATTTATGGTATCAAATCATATCATTTATGGTATCAAATCATATCATTTATGGTATCAAATCATATCATTTATGATCTCAAATCATATCATTAATGATATCAAATCATATCATTTATGATATCAAATCATATCATTTATGATATCAAATCATATCATTTATGATATCAAATCATATCTTTTATAATATCAAATCATATCATTTATGATATCAAATCATATCATTTATGATATCAAATCATATCATTTATGATATCAAATCATATCATTTATGATATCAAATCATATCATTTATGATATCAAATCATATCATTTATGATATAAAATCATATTATTTATGATATTAAATCATATCATTTATGATATCATATCATATCATATATGATATCAAATCATAGCTTTTTATCATTTAAAAATTAGCAATAAATTAAACTTTTTTATCTTTCTAATAGACAACCACTTTAAAAGTTTAAAAACCAGGAACATTTTCATACTTGAATAATAAAGTTCATGCCCTGGAAAACCAGTCTCAGAATCCATTAAATTTAACTTTGTTATTGTTGTGCTATTGAATCTACTTTTACAGCTATCCATATGGTATGCTATTTGAATATCTGTTCCATTTACAATCTGAAAATATTCTTCATTTATGTTGTAATGATGACATTCTGAGCTCCAGTATAGAAGCAAATCATTCCCATAACCTTCCATGCTTACAATTAATGGAGAAGAGTGGACAACAGAAAACGTTTTATAAGAACTCAGAATTTCTTCACCTGTCTTCCCATTTAAAATTAATACCTAATAAAAAAAAAAAATGAATTTTAAAATATGCTAAACTATAAATAACTATAAAACACAGAAAACCTGAACAAAATCTCAATAATATTAAGTAAAAAACAAAAAATATATAAGTAAAAATTGAAATTACAAATATTAAATATTCAAGATTTTTTAGTTTTACTAAAAAGTAAAAATTATATAAAATTAAAAATAAAATAATTTCATAGGTAAGTTTTTGAAACTGTTAAAATCATAGGAGATGTTTTTAACCTGAAAATGTTAAAAGTTAAAAAAAATAAGAAACAAAAATTTATAATTTTCCAAAAGTGAAATATTTTTTGGAACTTGCAACCCTTCTACTTGCAAACAAGTAATATTCTCAAGAAGACACATAATATTCTCAAAAATTATACAAATCAAGAATAACATGGAAGAAAATGAGAGAGAATTTCAAAGCACTAATACTTGAGGAAAAAAATGAAAAGTTTTTTTAGTAATAACAGTTATAGCAAAAGAATGCTGAGTAACAAGTCACACAGGACTGAATTTATGCTGATGGAACCAGAGTTGATGGAACTAACTTGAGCAGCAACCATAGTAACCATTAGTAGAAAAAGAGACATGACTGTACAATACTGTGATCTAAAAATCATGCTTGGCTAAATGTTATGGTTACAATTGGCTGTTAGTGAAGGTTACCATTGGCTGTTAGTGAAGGTTACAATTGGTTGTTAGTGATGGTTACAATTGGCTGTTAATGAAGGTTAAGATTGGCTCTTAGTGATGGTTACAATTGGCTGTTAGTGATTTTACAATTGGCTGCTAGTGAATGTTTGAAACTCATAAACTAAGTAAACTTAAAAACTTTCTTTAAATAAATTAATTTTTTAAAACTATATATTTTTTTTTTAGCTTTAAATATTTTTTAAAAAAGAGTTTTTTGTCATAATTGTCTAAATGTACCCAGTTCTTGAACCTAGTTACTAACGGGTGATGACTAAAAATCCAGACTAACTTTAACTGATTTTTAAATGCCATAAGCTAAACTTTTTTTTCTCTTATATCCATTTTAAAGCCTATTTAATTCTCTATATGTTAACTTACTGGTTTTTAGATAAGTAATAAAAATTGATAGAAAAATAGATAATAATGATGTCCAAGCAAGAAGAGATAAGAAAACAGATTTAAAAGTCCTATTCGAATAATAAATTGCAAGGTAAAAAGTTCACAGTAGATCACTTCACTGCTGAACAAATTCCAAGAAGCACTATCTATGATATAATCAAACGTGCTGAGAATGGTTTTGGATACAAAAGAGTGCAAGGAAGTGGTCGTGTGGCCAAAATCATGACCATGTCAAATCATTCTAAGATCAAAATCATGTTGTGTGGCCAAAATTATGACATGAAAGTGATCAAGTATTTGAGAACCGTATTTGACCAGAGTGACTAAGTTTTGATGAGGAAAGCCGGTCGAAAATTTGGATGCAGTCATTCACATATTGTAAAAACTCTCGCCAAGTACACTGACATCAAAACTTATACAAAACAGGGTATATCTGATCAATAAGAGAGCCATATAGAGTAAATCAAGACTAACAAAGATCGTCTTAATCCCCATTTTCAAGGAAAATTGGTCATCCTTGATGAAGAGTCTTACTTCACGCTGTCACAATCATAAACGAAAACAGCACCTACTACTCTAGTGACAGAATTTCACTAGAATAGTAGGTGCTGTTAAATTTTGAAAAAAGCACAAGTTTGAACCTAAGCTGCTCAACTGGCCGGCTGCTTCTGACAAAAGTATTTCCAAGCTATTTTTTATCCCCAGCAACCTTGCAGCCAATAAAGCCATCTACAAAATGGATTGTATTAAGAGAAGATTAGTGCCATTTATCATTACTCATCATGCCAATGGTAATTATGTATTTTGGCAAGACGTGGCCTCATCACATTATGCCAAAACCATGACCAACTGCTATAAGGCTCACAAAATCAATTTTGTCAAAAAAGTTGACTATCTGCCAGCCATACCGGAGTGACACCCAATCGAAGACTTATGGGGTATTTTAAAAGGTAAAGTGTATGAGGGTAACCGGCAAGCAAAAAATATGAAGCAACTACAATCCAGAATAAAGCTCTGTCTAAAAAAAATTGACCTTAACCTTGTATTTTCACTTTTTGGGTCAACTTGTCTTCGAGTTGGTCAAATCTGAAACAAACTGGTTAAAGGCAAACTTAATTAAAATAAATAAATAACTTAAAACTCTATTTAAAGATATTTTTTTTAAATTTCTACTTTAAAACTATGGGAGTAATGACTCTTGAAAGTATGTCCGGATTTTTAGTAACCACCCGTTAGGTCACAAAGTTAATGAAATATGAACCTAAATCTTAAAATAACAGCAAATAAAGTTGTACCAAGTAATCCAACCATGTTTACAATGGATTTTTGAGCCACACCCAAAAGAAAGGAAATAAACTTCAAAATCTTTTTAAAAATCAAAGATTTAAATAAAAGGAGTAAAATAAAATTAAAGTAAATCAAAATAAAAAATGGTTCATGTTTTGAAGTAATATGTAACCTTTCAAAATTAAATATATAAAAACAATCAAATTATTAACTTGATTTAATTTTTTACTGAATAAAAAATTTTTTTTTTAAACGATTAATCACAAGTGTTGTAACATTCAAATTCAATAATTGGTAATGTTAAAAAGCTTGAAATAACACACTTATGTTGAAAAGCATTGAAAAATCAATACAATGAAATCAATCAAATTATATAGTTTATAAATTAAATTATATAAATCTAAATTAAATATGACTAAAACTATTAGAAAGATTCAAAAAATTGAAATCATAATTTTATTATTATTATTTCTTATTTCAGGTGATGTAGAGCAGAGATCAATGTTAGGAGGGGTTTAAGTTATTTATAAGTTGTCTAAATTGTTTTTGTGAGGAGACAAATGCTGTGTAAAAAAAAGTGTGAAGAGACAAATGACTGTATAAAAAAAAAGTGTGAAGAGACAAGTGACTGTGTAAAAAAAAAGTGCAAAGAAAAGATTGTAATAAGTTTAATGGATGTAAAGATACAAATGATGAACCAAAGTTTCTTTTTTCTAGAAAAATGGGTAAAAATAGATGTATAAATTTTTTTTTATACATCTGTTTTATATACTTTTTCAAGTATATAATATCGTTGTTAAGTAAGTTTAATAATATAAAATAAGATAGTGAGTGTTCAAGAAATTACTTAAGAACTAAATCTTTCAAATGGGGAGAATGAGAGCAAAAAATTATTAATTTGTATTGCGATAAAAAAGAAGAAAAAATTTTGCTCCATAAACCCAAAAATTATTTCCTAGATTTAATCATCCCAGGCTACAAGCTCCAAATTCATCGCATTTAATTAGTTCAAGCTAATCAGCCCCAGTTTTACAACAAACCCAACCCTAACATGATCCATAGTTGGTATTTTCAACAATACACACAAGTGCTACAAGTAATATCAACCAACCAGCTATTGAGTTTTATAAATGTAACTTAAAAATAACTGAAAGTTATTTACACAACAAATTAACATTAAGGCACAATAAAAACCAGCGATGAAACCAGATTTGATGGTTTAAACCAAATGATTTAAACCATGGATTAAACCATTAGAAAAATTATCAATCTAAACCAAATTAATATTTTTTAAACACCTTTAAATTTACAACGGGAAAGTAAAGCAGGGTTATGTTTACAAATAGAACTATATGTCAATACTTAAAAGCATAAAGAAGCTTCTGAAAATTAATTTCTAATATACATCAAACTAACATTTATTATTTAAATGCAGCGTTAAAAGGCTGGATTAATCCATGATAAAAACCAAGAAAAAAGTTGGAAGTAGTAAAGCTTGTTTTTATACACAGAAATTTAGTTAAATAAACACATGCTTTTTTAATTGAAAAAGTTGAATAAACTTAAAGTGCTTAAATTTAAAAAAACTATGAATTTTGAGTCTTTTTTTTAATAAAAAAAAAATTACCACAGTTTTTGTTTTTTCTTCAAAAAAAAAAGATTTTTTTTCAGCCCTGCTCACTTTCTATTGAGTTTTTTTTTTGTAAACAATGTAGTGCATCTATCTTATATTTTTAGCAACAAATTAATTTCTCCCTAAGTACGCTTCCTGCATCTTGCTTTCCTGAATCATATAATTTGCAATCTTTTAAGTTGTCTGTCAATCGTTATCTTGCTCTACAATCTTCATCTTTTCTCTTCCAGTAACTTCCAATACTAATTAGTGGTTGCTTGCAGCCTTGTTGGAAGCGAAGATGTTAAAAAAAAAAAAAAAAAGTACATTTACAATTTCTTTTAGTATTTCTAAAGTCAAAATCCCTTTCCACCATGCACTCTCTCTCAAAACCACAATCAGTGTGACAAAGAGTTTTCTTATTTTTAATACATAAAACATCAACAAGATCAATATCTTTCTTTTTATTTTCTATTTCTTCCTGTTTGAGGTGTATTTAATAAAACTCTCATTACTATAATGCTCAAATATGATAACATATATAAAGATATATATAGTCAAAAATGGAATCAAGAATAAAAAATAATAAAGATAATCAAGAATATAAGTAGAAATAATCTAGAAATAAAACAGAAAGAAATAATCAAGAATAAAAATTGTTTTCTGTAAAAATATTGGCTAAAAAAAGAGTCAATTTAATAATAAATAAGAAAAAAAAAAAAAAAAATCTTTGGAGAAAAATATTAATCGATGTAAAAGATTGATTGAGTGAGACAGAGTGAGACAGTGCTAAACAGAAACATATAACAGAATAGCCAGAAGATTTAAACTCAAACTTCACAAGTAAATTGATACAACCAGTAAATTGATAAAAGCAGTGAATTGATACATAAGAATATGCTAGGCTACACATGAAACTATTGGAGTCTTTGTAAATCAAAATATAATAGCCTTCAATACTGAGATCTGATAAAGAAATAGTTGATGGTTTTTTGTTTTAATTTTTTTGGGTGCTGTAAAACTTGGTTCATAATTGAAACTTTTAGAGCTCAATCAACTCCAACTTTTTACTGCAAACAACTATCACATTACTATTGACTAATTACTATTACTGCAAACAACTATCACATTACTATTGACATTCCTATATTAATGATTGTTAACCCTCTAACTAATTCCTCTACTTTACGCCTTCTTGGATTATCATTACTTACAGACTTTTGGAAACTATAAATTTGATTGCAAAGTTAGCATCTACTAAGGCTACCATCTTTCACAATTTATTCTCACCTGATTTCATTCTCTACCTCTACAAATCTCTTTATTTGCCACTGTATTAATTACTATTAACATATTTTTCTTTTGGTTGGTTCTTTTAATGATACTCTTTCTCCTCTAGACAAAGTCCAAAAACGCATTATAAACGTAGTTGGACCTGCTCTATCTTTTTCTCTTTTTTACAAATACTATCATGGTTAATGCTCAAAGGAGCTATTATCTTTAGTTCCATCAACTATAACTCATTCTTGGTTGACTCATCATTCAGCAAAGTCTCATTCTTTTGTGTACTGTATCTGTCTCTAAATACTCTAAAAACTCTTATTCATCTAGTTTTTCCCCCCGCACTTCAACTTTCTCTCTTATCTGCCTGTTTTCCTGACTCATACAACTTCCAACTTTTCAAGTCTTCTGTCAACTATTTCCTTGCACTTTAACTCTATTATTTGTTTTCTAGTAACTCTTAATCTAATAGTGGTTACTTGCAACCTTGTTGGGTGTGAATTAAAAAGAAGAAGAAAAGAATTAGAAAGAACTTGACTCAATTATGGAGAAAACTTGACTCATTTATAAAACTCAATATTTCATTAAAAAACCGAAAATATATTGTATTTGAAGCAAATTTTATCAATTATATATTTAAAAAAACAGTTGTAGTATAAATTTTTTAAAGCTATTCTTAGTTGATTATTTTGGTATATGGTTAAAAAGCACTTAAAATTTTAGCCAAATGAAAATTCCAAAATGTTATAAAAATAAAGAGCAAAGTAAAAAATTATAAATTAAAAATTCCCTTAATCATAAAAGACCATCAAATATTTGACTTCTTAAGAATAAATTTCCTTTTTTTTTTTTTTTGTAAATCTTCTCTCATTTTATACAAACTCCATTATTACATAGTTCACATTATTTTCTCCATTATTACAATATTTCTGTTTAATAGATATTATCATTACTTTTAATAGATATTATCATTATATTTACTGAGAGTACGTAATAAATTACATGCTGGTACAAAAGAATACAGAAAAGGGTTTTCAATACTTTGAAAATACTTTATTCATAAAAGCAACAGGTAATCAGTTTGAATAAAGTAAGAAAAAACATATTTTTGAGTTCATTATTTTTAAATCTGGAGTCCTTTTTCTGAAAAAATAAAATGTCTTTGATTCTATTAGTCAAAACTTAGTGTCTACGAATAAAATGTTAATAAAAAACCCAAAAATTCAAACTAATGTTACTTCAAAAAGCGTAAAAAAACTAAACATGAACAAATCAATGAATGAATGAATGGAAGGAAGTAAATAAACATAATTATAAATTATACTAATAAAAAAATAATTATAAATTAAAAAGTATTAATGATAAAATTTAAAATATTAAAAAAAGTGTTTAAAACTTAATTTATTAATAAATTAATTTTTATCTTAAATTTAAACTTGAAAAAATATAAAAATAATCAAAAAACAAATACTTCATACATTTGATGAATAATAAACAGGAAAAGTTCCAAGATTTTTTCGAATAACAAAATCGACTATATCATCATCATTAAAAAAACCAACTCCAGGAAGTCTAAAAGTTTTGTTCATTTAAAATATGTATATAGAAAAATAAGGCTTTTAAAGCTTAAAAGCTTTTAAAGCTTTTTTAACACATAAAAAGTTTTATTCATTATCAAATTCATAAAAAGGTATTAAGATAATGTTGTAAGTTATTGAAATGTTGCAAGTTATTGGAATGTTGCAAGTTTTTAGGATGTATGCAACATGTCAACTCATTACAGGCATAAAAATAAATTATTTATTTAACATTTAAATGTAAATAATTTAAAAGGTTTGTGAAACAAAAAATGAATTTAATAAATAAACAAAATATAACAGACAATTTTAACATTCATTGATACTGTCATGCAACTTATATATTTAAACTTAAAATTTGTGTGACATTTCTATGCACAGATGGTAATAGTTTTGGTTCAAACTGTTTGAACAAATTATATATATATATATATATATATATATATATATATATATATATATATATATATATATATATATATATATATATATATATATGTATATATATATATATATATATATATATATATGTATATATATATATATATATATATATATATATATATATATATATATATGTATATATATATATATATATATATATATATATATATATATATATATATATATATATATATATATATATATATATATGTATATATATATATATATATATATATATATATATATATATATATATATATATATGTATATATATATATATATATATATATATATATATATATATATATATATATATATATATATATATATATATATATATATATATTTATGAAGACCACAGGGGAAAAAAGCACAGTTTCCAATTATTTGAGTTATATCCCCTACTATATAAACATAAGCCTGAAGGTTAGCAAAATAGTAAAATCTAACCCAAAAATGGCCTATGTAATGCTACAGAAACACCCAAAGAAAAGGCATACAGGGGAAGACATAGTGACTTTCAAAGACAAAATTTATTTATCTTAAAAGTGAAAATGTGTGACATGTGCCTTTTTTCCCCTATAGTCTTCATATATATATATATATATATATATATATATATATATATATATATATATATATATATATATATATATATATATATATATATATATATATATATATATATATATATATATATATATACATACATATATATACATATATATATATATATATATATATATATATATATATATATATATATATATATATATATATATATATATATATATATATATACATATATATATATATATATATATATATATATATATATATATATATATATACATATATACATATATATATATATATATATATATATATATATATATATATATATATATATATATGTATATATATATATATCTATACATATATATATATATACATATATATATATATATAATAGTTCGATCCCCACCACGTCCCTGGTAGTACCACGCACAACTTATTTCTCCGCGCAGCGGCCTTGTTTGTCAAGGTTCGTGTTTCGAAGTTATAGAGTTGAGAGAGGGTTATAACCACTATTAAGTAGCCTCCTCGTCTGTAGTGGCCTTCTCGGTCTTGAGGAGGTGAATAAAATTAGTTGCCCATTTGAAGCCACCATAGAATATTTTTATTCTATTTTAATTTTTCTTTTTAAAATGTTTTATCAAAGTAGTTTTATGTTTTTAAAATATTATTGTTATTAATCTTTTTTAACATAACTGAATTTTATAGTCATATTGACTGACTTAAGTATGGTGTACATACATCGAATGAGAATTTAGATTTTGGAATTCTTTTATATAAAAGAATAGGCAGGCCTTGTTATGAGATTTTATTGCATGAAAACAAACTAATACATGTAACTTTAACACAGTGTGATATTTACATTATTAAAAGTTAAATTGCATTATTAGCACATTTTAAAGTACTGTGTTGTAATTAAGTTTAGTTTTAAACTATCTTAAAAATCATTTAAAGTAAAAAAAAATACTGATAAAATCTAAATTCAGTATAAGAAAGAGATTTCCTTATAATTCATTTCTTAAAACAATCTAATACTTGACATAATCTTTTGTTTGTTTATCACAATTTTTCTATTTTATTTTTTATTTTTTAAGTATTTAATGTAAAATTTTAAATTAGGATTATAAACAATTTACACCATGTAACAACATTTTTGTTTATGTTAATTTTTTAATGTTTCTTACATAATTTTTGTATGCTGATTTCAGTGGTACCATTGGTTTTTCTCTATCATCAAGATTTCCTGAGAAAAAGCATAAAGTATATTTCGGAGTTTTCGTATATGTGTAATGCAATTAAAACATATATATATGCTGATTTTAACTATATTCGTGTGTTTATTTTCAGTTTAACTAATTACAACTGTTACATGAAGTAGTGAATATGTCTAGTAGATCCTGCAAGCTTTGTCCTGACTCACTCTGTTATGTTTGTGGTTACTATATTAGTCCAACACAAGCTAAACATAAGATTGTCAGTGGTACAAAATTCTTTACTGCATATCATGCTTATTTTGGCATGGCTATGGGAGATCAGGACAAATCGTGGGCACCACACTACAGTTGTGGTAGCTGCAGATCAACTCTGGAAGGATGGCTGCGTGGAATCCGAAAGTCAATGCCCTTTGCGATTCCGAGAATATGGAGAGAACCGACGAACCATCATGATGACTGCTTTTTCTGCATTGTTGACATTTCAAAGTATAAAAAACCGAAAGATAGGCTGACTCTAGTTTATCCAAGTATACCATCTTCTATTGGACCAGTTCCACACAGTGATGAATTGCCTGTTCCTACTCCACCTCAATCTGAAGAAGCAGCTGCATATCATTCTGAAGTAGACTCACCGGATGAACTCAATGATGACTGTGATTTCAGGGAACCGAATGATTCACCTCATTTCCCTAACCAACAAGAACTTGATGACTTAGTACGAGATTTAGGTCTCACTAAATCAAATGCAGAACTTCTGACATCACGTTTGAAAGAATGGAATTTATTAGATCCAAGCTGCAGAACCTCGAAATACCGAAAAAGACATGAAACATTCGCATACTTTTATGTAGTATCAGAATCACTGTGCTATTGTCATGACGTTCGTGGTCTTTTCAATGACATTGGCATTGTTCACAATCCTGAAGAGTGGAGATTATTCATTGACAGCTCAACAAGAAGTCTAAAGGCAGTTTTGCTCCATAACGGAAACTGATTTCCTTCGATTCCAGTAGCTCATTCCGTTCATCTAAAGGAAGACTATAAGAACGTGAAGTTGTTGCTTGAGAAAATCAACTACGACAGTTACAAGTGGGATGTATGTGGAGACTTTAAGATGCTAGCATTTCTTCTCGGTCTGCAAGGAGGATACACAAAGTACTCGTGTTTTCTTTGTTTATGGGATAGCAGGGCTGCAAACCAGCACTTCACAAGACGTGAGTGGCCAGTGAGAGAACATTTACAGCGGTTCGCACAATGTTATTAATCAATCTCTGATACTTGTTGAAAAGATCTTACTACCACCCCTTCACATTAAACTTGGTCTTATCAAACAATTTGTCAAAGCATTAAACCCAGATAGTGCAGCATTCCAGCATATTCAGCAGATGTTTCCAAAGGTGTCAGATGCAAAAATTTCAGCAGGTATATTCGTTGGTCCACAGATTAAAGTTATGTTGGCATGTAAGGAGCTTGAGGACAAAATGTCTGCTGTTGAAAAAGAAGCATGGACTGCATTTAGACATGTTGTTCATAGCTTTTTAGGCAACAATAAGAGTGATAACTACAAAGAGATAGTGGAAAACTTAATTGTACGGTACGCAGATATGAAATGCAGAATGTCAATAAAGCTGCATTACCTGCATTCACACTTGGAATTTTTCAGACCAAATTTGGGTGATGTGAATGAAGAGCACGGGGAACGTTTCCATCAGGATATTCTTGCAATGGAGAAAAGATACCAGGGCAGATGGGATGCAGCTATGATGGGTGACTACATCTGGTGTTTGATACGCGATGACGAGAAACTTCATAAAAGAAAACCTCGTTCTACTGTTCACTTTTAGTGTTTTTTGAGATTGTGAGAGACTGTTACAATACAATATAATGTAACATTATGTAATATATGTAAGAAACATGATGTAACATGAAGTTTTGTAACATAACATAACACTTTTGAATTAGTAAATGTTTTATATTGACTAAAGTAGAATCTAATGCAAAACGATTTATATTAATTATATGTTTAATTGATTTTTTGGTTTTACGACCAAACGATTGATGCAATAAAAAATCCAATGTCATATTCAGACTCAGCATACTCAAATTAATTAAGAAACATCAAAAAATTTTGATAAACAGAAAATTTTTTTTTTTTGTTACATTGAGTTATAGATAGATTTAATCAGTTACCAATAAGATATTTGTAAACAAAATTTATGCTCATAAATAAATGTCAAAAGAACTTTACACAATATTGAATTAATAAGAAACAAAAAATTTTAAATATATTTGTAAAAAGAATTCTTTTTAACAAAAACACTTCTTTCTTTTTATAAGAAAAAAAATTGTTATTTTCTTTCATGTTAAATTTATGACGGAGAGACATTTTACGTAATGAATTAGTTAGCACATGATAAAAAATATTGCAAAACTATTTACCATTTCTTTGAACAAAATTTTGTACTTTATGTCTAACTATTTTACATTACTTCAAAAAAACTAAATTAAAATTTTTAAAATCTTATTTAATATAAAGTCTTTCAAAAACAATTTTTTTCTTTTATAATATAAGCTGTTTCTTTAATTTTTCACAGTTGTGGTTTAATGTGTTTTTTAATTTTAATTTAAATATGCCAAAATAACAAATTTTAATATTAATTGCATTTTACATACAAAATGGCAATTTGTATGTAAAATATGGCATTTTACATACAAATTGCCATTTTGTATGTAAAATGCAAGCTGTGTGATGGTTCTTAACAAGGCCTGCTAAGGTTTATAAATTAATTTATATATAAAAATATTTAATTTAATTACACTATATTTTTAAGTAAATTAGTCATAGTTGGAATCAAATATGTTTGATCAAATATAAATGCATTTATTCTAGATTTCCAAATACAAATTCAAATATAAATATATTCAATCAGCATTTTCCATATAATTATAATTTTAATTGAAAAAAATATATTTTTTTCAAGACAAGACTGATAAATTTGTCTACTATATAGAAGAATTAAAACGAGTCTAAAATACCTCTCATAAATATATCTTAATAACAAATTTTTAATTTATTTTGTTAAAAATGAAAAACAATCAACCTCTTTTCCTGAAAAATTATTCCGAAAAAACACTGATTCTTTTTTTAAAACTCTCTGAATATTTAAAAACTGAAAACTGAAAAAAGGTAAAAAAAAAAACTAAAAACAGTGCACAACTAATTCAGGTGTGCACTGATCAAGTGCTTTCTCAGTGTATCACATTGAGCATGGATTGTTCATTGCCAAGGTTGCTTCTAAAAACTTGGGATACCCTAACATAACAACTACTTTACAAGTTATGAGCTTATGACATTCAAAGGACTCTTAGACTGGATCTGAGCTTGACCATTTAAGGAGTTGTCATCAACACATTCACATTACACTTGAATGAAAGTGGTCACTAGTGGCATGTCTAAATGAATCTGAATATCTAAATGAATCTAAATGAAAGTGGTCACTAGTGGCAGGTTCGGTCTTAGGACCATTGCTCATTGTGATCTTTATAAATAATCTGCCAGACAGTATCAATTACAATATAAAAGCTGCCAACAACAGGCAAGTTATAGACATAATCAAGAATGAATTAAAAAGCATAACTCTTCAAGTCAACTTCAACGAAGCAGTGAAATAGTAAAATATTTGGCTCATGCAATTCAGCATTGAAAAATATCAAGAATTCCATGTTGCTCGCACATAAAACAAACCAATGCCAAATACTATATGACTAACATCAACGGCACACTTGTACATTCAAACACATACATCCATTACATTTTTTTTTACATCTTTGCGTCCAACAAGGCTGCAAGCAACCAATATAAGAGTTGGAAGTTACTGGAAGAGAAAAGATGAAGTTTGTAGAGGAAGATAACGATTGACAGACAACTTAAAAGATTGCAAATTATATGAATTAGGAAAGCAAGATGAAGGAAGCGAATTCCAAAGAACTGATGTTTAAGGAAAAAAACTAGACGAATAAGAGTTTTTGGAGCACTTAAGAACAGTCACAGAAAAAGAATGAGACTTAATTAAATGACAAGTAACACAAGAATGAATTTTAGTAGATGGAACAAAAGATCCTAGCTCTTTAAAGCAGTACCCATTATAGTATTTGTGAAAAAGTGAAAGAGAAGCAACATTACGACAATATGATAATGGTTAGAGGTTGACTGAAAGAGCAGGCCCAACTATGTGTACAATGCGCTTTTGCACCATGTCTAAAAAAGAAAGGGTGTCACTAGAAGATCCATCCCAAAAAGGACGAATTTGAGATTTATAGAGATAAGGAATATCTGGAAGATCGTTAATATAAATTAAAAATAGTATAAGGCCAAGGAATAAACCTTGATGAGTTCCTGAAGTAACAGGATATGAAGTAGAATGCTGTCAATCGAGGACAACTTTTATACTACGATTGGAAAGGAAAGACTCAATAATTTTAATGATGTTACCAGATACACTGTAAGTTGATAGCTTATGGAGAAGACCAGCATGCCAAACTTTATCAAAAGCTTTAGAAATGTCAACAGTGATAGCCTTAACCTCTCCACCTCTATCTAATGCACAATAAAACCTATCAGTTATTACTGTTAGCAAATCAGCAGTAGAACAAGAAGATCGAAAACCATATTGAAGATCAGAAAGTAAATTATTAGATTCAAGATAAAAGATTAAGTGTTTGTTAATTAAAGATTCAAAAACCTTGCTTATGATAGGAAAAAGACTAATAGGCCAGTAGTTAGACAAGTCAGATCGCTCTCAAGAATTTTTGAAAATAGGGATAACAGATGCCACTTTCCAGCATGCTGGAAAACAAGACTCTGATAAGTACTTGTTAAATAGTTTCAAAAGTATAGATGACAGGAAATCTCTTTTGATACAGACGCTAGAGTGATACAAATGTCAAGCAATGGATCAAACTATTTGATGGCTGTATCAAGTTGAACGCACCTAGTGGAATCAAGAGATGATGTTGATGAAAGTTTCTTAGCAAACAATTCAGCTTTCTTTTCAGGTGAGGTGACAACGTCTGAACCGTACAAGAGAGATGGAATAACAGACTTGCCCATATTATTGATACTATTAAAGATTCTCCAGAAGAGCATAATTTTTGTGATGAAATACAAGATTTTATGACCTGAGAATAGCGAGCTTTGGCATTAGACAAAACCTTTTGACAATGGTTTCTAGCAATAGTAAACAGACTGTTTTCTGGAGAATTATTTTGCTGATAGATATGGAAGTAATAATTTCAATTGGAAATTGCATCAGCACAATGGGAGAAAAAACCCACGGAGAAGAGTAAGGCTTGTTTTAGAATTGTTGAGAGGGATAAAAGACTCCATGCCAGCCTGAATCCATGAAGTTATGTAAGAAGCACATTTGTCAGAGGAAAGAAAAAAATTTCTACCCAAGGGCCATCACAAAAAAATCAAGGAAAGAGTCAGCTTTAAGTTAGTTGTAAGAGGTACAATAATAGGAGGATTTTGATGATTAAGAAGAATGAGATAATAGTTTTAGAGAGAGATCAAGCTGTGATCAGAGTTACCTAAGGGTGAATGTGGAGAAACTGAGCACTTACTAGAATTAGAAACAAAACAGAGGTCGAATAGAGAAGGTAAACGATTAGGGTTGTCTGGAAAGCAAGTTGGAAAGTTGACCATTTGAGTAAGAGATTGAGAAAAACAAAAGTTGAGGGCCTTTATACCAGCAGAGTCACTGACACTCAGTCAAGCCATTCAGTGTGATGAGCATTAAAATCACCAACAACAACGATATTGGCAGATGGATAAAAAGAGAGGTCTTGGTCAATTTGATTAGAAATAACATCAAAAAGAGTGCAGACCTGAGATGAAGGAGAACGATATAGAACAAAGAGAAAGGCAATAGAGTGAAGTTTGCACATGAAATTAAAGCACATAAAAGAATAGTCTGTGGATTTAAATAGAGTTCTACCGGATATGATTTTTTACATATCCGGCCGGATACGGATATGCCGGATATAAATTTATGTATCCAGCCGGATATAACGGATATGTTAAATATTGTAAAAGAATAAGAGGGGACAAGGTTTTTAGAGGTGCCCCCCTCCCCTAGTGATGCCCCTTTAACTGTTGCCGTGACCGACATTCTTAAATATTACTTATGTTTGAATTTATCCAGTTTTATCTGAACTTAAGGGAATGTTTAAAATGGTGT